CGAAACCAAGATTTCTACTGGCCTTGCTTTTCAAGTCACAAGACTCTCATTAAAAAGGCAGAGCTAGCAACTTTTTTGTGGTAAATGTAACATTACAAGTGGAAACAAGAAGAATCATAAAATTGTTTCACAATCAAATTCTCCTTCTAAAAAAAATAAGTTTAGCCATTTTGAAGAGCAGAATAAGCATATATTAAAAGACAGAGAGATTAAGGAAATTTATGGTTTACCACATAAAGTTATGCATGCCTATTGAGAACAAAGCCTCACTAAGTTTAATGGACTTACTTCCATGTAAGTGTTTATGCTATGGCAGTGTGAAGGACAGAAGAGCAATGTGCCGTCCTCTGCCTCTCAACACCCAAGTGGAAGAGAGTGGATGTGCGGAGGGAATACTCAGAGATAGAGCAGGAAAAGGTTAAACCCCCAGCTGCCTCAGAGGTGTGTCTAGTAGACGACAAAGGGGTGGAGCTGGATTTAATATTATGGGAGGAGAGAAAAGAGGGAGAAAGTGCGCGGATTTTCAATTTGACAACTGACGGGGAGCTGTTGGGGAGAGTCGTGGGGTACAAACTGAGCCTATGCATGACCTGGAGGACTCGACCAGCCTTCTGAAGGGACTTTCTGAATCTACAGTTAGGAGGACGTCTGTTACCAGAACCGAGTCTGAGCGGCTTGAAGGGAAGGGAGTTAGATCCTCTAGAATGGACGGTTAAAGATCTGAACCGCCTCCACTCCTTCTTCCCTCCCATACCCAAGGTGCGCCTCCGGCTGAAGACAAACCTGTTCACAGGCAGCTTAACTTTGCAGTCCTTACAATAAAATGTATGTCTCAGGGAATTCAATGGGGTTTACGTTTTAAGTAGACGTGTAGAACTGTACTAGAAAATGTGGCACCAAAGAAACAACTACATTTGCAGTCAACATCTTAATAATGCAATTAATATTAAAAAACATTCTGAACAGAGATCACAATTAAAGACAGTTGAAACAACTGAAAGAAGCTTAGTGCTTTGAAAAGGGATCATCCATAGTTCAACAAAAGGGGGGTGGGGGAGAAGCCATGTGGTCCTTGTACACTATCAGAAGAAAAGGATGGACATTACAGAACCGGGAGTGGTGCAGAAAAAAGCATAAAAGCTCCAAAATCCATGGCCAGATGTGCAGGCTAGGTACGTCATTTAAAGCAAGCTCGGAAATTATCTCTGCAGAATCTGCTCAGGGATGCTAGATCTCAGATATCAGCTGTAATGATGTGGATCAGAATGCTCCAACGAGTTACCACCTCCTATGCACACACCCCTCACAGTTCTATGGAAATAGAACATGGTTCCTTTTTGCCCGGGGAACAGAGGCAGGCAGGCAGAAAGAAACCTAGCTAACCCCAAGATGGAGTAAAAATTCAATTTACACACTAGTTAAACCAATTGCAGCCAAATTAAAAGTATTACCTTGTGACTGGAGGATGATATTTTCATCAGTCTACAGTCCTGTTTAGGCAACATTAAATGTCTTTCCTTGGCTGCAGATAATGCCCTGGTCAGCTATTCAGGTTTATCTTCCACATTTCCACTGAAAAAAAATTATCCAAATTTCCCTGATACAGTATGGGGGTTTGTCACATTTCTGTGTGTATCTGTTCTCCAGCTGAAAAGGAACCACCGGGCTAGGGGAAGAGATTAGTCATGTTCAGAAAAAAAATATCAAATTCCAAAATCCATGGCCTATCTCTTCTCCCAAGCATAATGCAAGATCAATAGCTAAGCCATTGTTTCTCAAATATGGCCAGCAGCTTCATTTACTGCAGCATGACATGCAAGCTTCATTAAGCTCAAAGAGAAGACCATGTTGGGTTGAAAGCTAGCCTCTGTTTGTGACATTCCAGTGGTATCACCACTTCATGTCTTCAGACTGAACAAGGCAGTGACTCTTCTTTGGTGATATTTAAACATCTATAATCCAGATTATCCTGAAGAGTGTGCATATTTTGGGCAACTGTTTATGCTAAACAAAATTTTACCACAGAAAGGTCTAGTGAGCATAAACCAATACTGTGGCTAAAATATTTAATAATTTCATCATTAAAAACATTTTAATAAAAAATGCACATATAATTGGTGTGAGACTTTGTAAGCGCCTTTTACTAATGCGATCCTGATAAAGAATGCAGATGACACACAGCATCCTTTCCCACAGAAGTCTATACTTTTATTATGTTTCTCTTATGCTGCATGGGAGGATGCATATATAAATCAACTAAAGCATGCATCTTACTTAAATGCTGTGTTTTTACAGCAAATTTCCTTGACTGATGCACCAATTATACAACTGGAATTCAAATGATCAATTAGGACTGCAATTGTATAATCACTCACCCAGGAGCAAATCCCATTGGAATCAGTTGGACCCGAGTCAAAGTAGGCATTTATTAAATTATACCCCTATTATACTGTATAGGGGTTTGTTACTGGAGTGACAACCCAGGATAGCACATACAGTTCCAATAGTTAAACCAACTTACAAGGAGGCAATATGTGTCCCTATCACATAAAGCATCCTGTATAGACCCTTATTCATTGCAAGATATAATCACAAATTTTCCAGTGTAAACTGCAGAGTACAGAAAAACATGGGAAACTATAGAAAATTTAAAGGGTTTGAACATACAAATACATTATACTGCATTTGTCATAGGGGAGGGATGGGCAATGTGCAGTTATGTGAACCAATTTTTTAGTTTCCACAATTCTTTAGGATTAGCTATGGACCTTATAAAACACTTAAAAAAACAAATAAACAAAAAAACACAACCAACACACAGAGAACTGGAAATAACTCACAGTCCACTTCCCATTTTTATTTTTTAATCTTGATTTTTATTTACTTATTTATTATTAAAACACTGCAGGGCAGCCCTGCAACCTATTTAAGAGCTGAACTGCTGTTTTCTGGACACTTCCAGCAGCAGCAACATTATTTGTCTGAAGGGAAGAGGAACCTAAAGAGCCTGTTTTACATATACAGTAGTCCTGGAACTGCACTTTGCCCACATCTGTCATATAGCAAGGATAGGAGCAAAATCCAGTTGGTATAACTTTGCACTGCAATAGTTTTAAAAAATCACTACCACTGGGATCAATACTACCAGCAGTGACTCAGTGGCAACAATTTACTTTTAACTCCTGGGCTACCAATCAAATATGGATTCATCTCTAATTTCCCTGGAATAGAAACCATAACTTATGTACATATTTTTATTGCATTTGTTCCCCATACATGGTCAAAAAAGCTCACTGTTCAGTACCGAGGATTTACAATATGTTTCCTCCTGTACTCTTATAAGATGGGATTGTACAGAATGACTTGTCCATTGGGTTTCATTACTAGGCTGAAACCTAAGCTAATGTCATGGCTTTCCATGTAGGAGGCTCACAACACGTCTTTCTTCTAATGTGAAATTTTTCTTCACCTAAACTGCAATTTTTTTTTGACAAGAACTGTGTTAGACACTATCCCTATGAATTAAGGTAATCTACCTATGACAACATCTTAGCTTTAAAACTGTCACACACAGCCTTCAGTTCTAGCCTATTTTGTACGTATGCTTTATTTAGTGCTGGAAATATTCCTAGTCCTCAAGATTTCACACATATCCTGATTTGTTATTTCTGCAAAAAATTCAGCACCAGAAAAACTGAGTGAGTTGTCTATCATATGGGCCCATTCATTAATAAATGTTTTTAAAAATAAAAATCACTATGACATACTACTGATTTCCGAGTGAAATAATGTGCAAATGGAAACAAAGGTACAGTACATACGCTTCCATAAAATCTAAATCTATACTGTACATACATTTATACTTACATTAGACCTACTAACCTACCTTTTATTTTCCTCACAAAATTCAAGAGTACACACTGCCCAAATTATTACAGGTATGAATAAAAGTAATATATCTGTAACAAAATGAATACAAACATAGTGTACCTTTGTTCTATTAAAGGACAGCTCCTTCAAATGACAGCTGCTGCAACATGCTTACTTTTTAACATTTCCTACTGCATAAATTATTTTCACTATGGATTCCACAAAGAAACTCATACACGTGTGAATATAGTTTGGTTTTTTGAAATAATCCATTTGAGGAACTGGATTTTTTCTCCTTATGTATTCCTGGCCTAACTAAAAAAACAAACAAACCCTTATTTATCCATCCTCCATCACAAAAAACCAAGCACTTTAATGGCCCAGATCCAACTACAGTACTAGACCCAACTATGTTAACCTAGCACTTGCAGTTGATTCAGTGGGTCTACTCTAGAGGGGTTTGGAGTCTAGCTATTGTATTTAGGCCACAGACTCCTGCAGAGCATGTTTAGAGACATTCTGGTGTATTCAGTTCAATGAAAGAACAAAACACAAAGCCTCTTTCGTTAAATGGTTTGCAAGCCTTAAAAAATATTCCATCACAAATGGGATTTCATTGCGCTTTAAATATGTGGTTTGAGATTACCATTATTTTTAATCTATAAAATTAAACAACAAAAAAAACGGGATCTGGCACAAAAGGTTAAAAAAACAAGGAACACACTTTTGCCAGGATTGAAAATGAAAAAAAAAAAACCTGTCAGAACTGTTACACTGTCTCCTAATTGCAAAGAAATGTCATTGACACAAAAAGACTTATTTCCCAGTACTGTACTGTATTGGATTTAGGACCATGGAATTCAAACCACAACAGGTCAACAAGGCCCTCTCAAATTCAAAGCCTCCACTTATAAAATGCAGATTTCCCCCCTAAACATGACAGTTTTTATTAATTCTGGAAGGAAGGGAGCAGGAACCATCACCCATGCAATCCTTTCCAATATCTTGGGCAGGATGTGAGCAGGAAGGTTTTCAGAAAAAAGAAACGGGAAATCATTGAGTTCACAGCTACGGTACATATATAAATATATATTTTTGGGGGGGGGAATAAATTGAAAACATTTACTCACAATCATCTAAGTCATCCTGCAAATCCACAAAATACAAAGGGATCCCTACAAACAAAAAACAAGAGACAGAAAGAGAGAGAGAGAGGGAGGGAGGGAGAAAAAGAGAGAAGACACAGGGGGTTGGTGTTGTTTTTCCACAAGACTATTTGGACAGGAGGTAAATTAAAAATTTAAAAAAAAATGCAAAGCCAAGCCAAACATCATCCACAGCAACTAAAAGAGAGCCAGCACGCCACGTTTGCACCACGTTTAAGCACCCTCTTAAATATAAAAAGACATTATTTTAAAACCCGCATCGAAAAAGAATCAGAAGCTCATGAGGGGGGGGGGGGGGAGGCGGAAAGACCCGCCTCCAACCTACACGAAGAAGCAGAAGAAGCCAAATACCACTTACCAGCCATTTTGAAATGGACATTGGTGGGGAGGAAGAGGAGGAGGAGGAGGAGATTTGGGGCCCGAGAGGAGGGCCCGAAGGAGGAGCCGCCTGCGCTCCCTGACCCTCGGCTGAACCACACACCCAGCCGGCGCTCGGCGGCCCCCACACAGACATCCAATTCCTTTTTAAACGTCTTCCGTTACTTTTGAATGACTGCCCGAGCCTGTGCCGTTCCTTCTCCAGGCGCGGGCCGCCGTTAATTCTTTTTTTATTATTTTTTTGGTTCGTTTTCAACGGTGAAGGAACAAAAGGAAAGCGGGGAGGGAAGGAGGAGGAGGAAGAGGGAGGGAGGGGAAAAAAGACATCTAGGGCTGACACGGAGTGATAATGACGCTTTCTTTTCCTCCTTCTTTCTAATCCCGTGTCACTGGAAAAGAGGGCGGAGAGGCTCCGTCAGGTGATCGTCAATGGGCCGGACCAAGATGGCGGCCGGTTGGTGGCGCCTGAGGAGAGGCGGCCGAGGAGGCTTTACCTGTAGTTAAGAAGAACTCGTGGGTAGGGGGGCCAAAGAAGGAGGAGCCCACGAGGCCGAAGACTTATTTCATATATATCGTTAAAGGAGGGTGTGTGTGGCCGCTCTAGAGTTTCCTTCCCACAGCCTTCTCGGGAGATGGTGGCTTGGCCGTGGGAGTGAACAAGCCGGCGGCGGCGACTCTTCAGCGTGTGCCTTTTTTTTTCCAGGGAGGGGTTATGGTGTGGCTGGACGGTGCCTGGGGTTCTTAAAAGAAGCCGCCTCTTTTTCTCCAAGCCATGGCTCTGAGGGAGCTCAAAGTTTGCTTGCTCGGGGTAAGTAAGGGGGCCGAGAGAGAGAGGGAGGAAGAGGGAAGTGTGGGCTCTTTAGGTCTCTGCCCAGTGGCTGTGGGGCGATTCAGAAAGTTAGTTTGGGGTCCTCCACAAATTACTTTTTCTCCCCTTCCTTTCCGAAACCAACCCCCCCCCCCAATGCTCCAGTCCCGTAAAGCGTTTGCAAAATCGTAGGTCTAGTTTTCCACCATTAAGTGCTGTTCTGAGATGAGAGGGGAGATGGAGCCCAGGAATAGTCCAGAAGTAGGACCGTCCAGATAAAGTGCAATTTAGGCGCTCTTCTAATATTTCCCTTCCCATCCTTCTGCATTTTACTCTGAAATAAACTTTATTCGCAGGTCTGTTTCTTCACCTTCGAAGTGGTGCGACTTGGAGCATAGCAGTATAAGATTTTGGTGGTACTACTTTTGCAGTTTTTATGGTCCGATCCAGGGTATTAAGAAGCAAGTCCTTGCTTCCCTCAGTGGAACTTACTTCCGAGTTATTAGGCACAGGTTAGGACTTGCAAGAGGCATTTTGTTCCCTTATAGAGCAAAATAGGTCAATGTGATCCAAACAGTTTCTCCAGAATTAAGTGTTGAGGGTCTCAATATATACTATAAGCAGAACTTTATTGTTCTTGGTCAGTTTTTGGAAGAAACTTATAAATAGAATTAAATTATTTTGTATAGCACCTGAAACATGGGCAAAGTCTTATAACTTCTTTGAAGAGGCTTTAACAAGATTCTTCACCTGCAAAGAGAGGAGGCTGCTGTTAAGACAGCAGTCCTGTACTATATCTAGGTACTGTACCTGGTCAAAGGCCCTTTGAACTCAGCAGGATCTTTTCTTGAGTAGATAATGTTGTAAAGCCATTAACCTCCAGTATGGGGAAAAGTTAGCTTCAATTGTGTATGTCAGGAATCCTGCAAATTGTCTAACACTGTGAGGAAATTTGGGTTAATACCTTTGATTTCTTGAAATAGGATTTTTTTTATATATGAAGAACGAAAGAGGATAAATGCAGCAACTTTAATGTCTGTTCACCTTTTCTTTTAAGTCTAGTCTATGGTAGATTTTGCCAAAACTACTGTTTGTCAAATTGGTGCTAAAATAATATAAAGATGGAATTATCTTTTATTTAAAAGTGGAAAGTGCACGTGCATGAATGTTCAAATACTGCTTTGCATTGCTAATGCTAGCATTACTAAGCCTCAGGATCTCCAGCTATCTGAAACTTTGGACTGTTTCTGAACTCCCAAAGGTTTAGTTATTGTGGTCTCAATTGTTTTTAACAACCCACAGCTTAGCTGCAAGGCTCAGGCCACTTTCTCCAGAAATGAATTAACCTAAATGCAGCTATATGCCTAAAAGTGTAAAGCTGATTTGGTTTTTTAATCTACTCATTTTCATGCAGTTTAATATTCACTGTCATACCTGAGCACTTATTGTCTTTTATTAAACAGGGTGTGGCAGAATGACTAGTGAGCATTCCAGGCATTCCCTAACAAGTTTAACACCTTTTTGATTCCAGTCCAAACTGTTTACTATGAGCATCTTAGGCAGAGTTCCTGCATATGAGTTTCTGTTAAGCTATACCCGAACAGTGTCACCAGCATAGTTTGTGTTCTAAAAAGCATGAAAGCATCACTGCATTTTTATGTGGTTGCATCGTTGGGAAAGTATATTGTAGCAGAAATATCAATCATCATCTAGTTGTATATTTACAATCCAATATCAGTGGTGTATACTCTGAAGTAACTGCAGAGAATTACAGCCCTAAACTTCTGTTACTACATAGTGTGCAAATAGATATTAGGGTTAACCTTCATGCCCCATGATGCTACATGATTTCCCCAAAGTCATGTTTTGTTGCAGAACTCAGAGAATTACAATGAATGTTTTAAAATAATATCCCCAGGTTTTTGCCACTTAACTTGCACACAAATTTTGTTGGCTACTGGACTGTACCAAAGAATTTCCGACATTCAGTCTATGCTTTCTAGATTACAGCATGACCTTAAACTGTCTGGATAATAAAAAGTTATGGGTTATTGTAAAAGAAATGGCTGTGTCAACTTATTTGTTTGTCCTGACGTATCCTTGCACTGTGAACAAGAGATTCTTGTTAAGACAGAAAATAAAAAACAAACAAATGGTAATCAATGGGCAAAGGTGTCAGGCTGTAGTTTCTTTTATCTCCCTGTCTGTTCAGGACTGAGACTTGGAAGGGCAGGTATGAAGGAACTAGAAAAGTTACTTAAGATTAAGGGTGTGTCAATGGAGAACAAGACCAAGCTTATCCATACTATGTTATTTCCAAATAATACATATGGATATGAAAACAGTGAAGGAAGCTGACAGGAAAAAATTCAGTTCATTCGAAATCTGATGTAGAAAGAGAGCTCTACAGATTTTACTAATCACAATGTATACAAATAAGTGGGTGCTAGGTGAAATCTAATCTGAACTTCATGAAGCAGAAATGACTAAATTGAGGCTATTGTACCTTGAGACCATCGTAAGAAAATATTCACTGGAAAAGATAATAATAGTATGAAAAGTGGAAAGTAGTAGAAAACCAGGAAGTGAAAAAATGAGATACAGTAGATTGATACAATATAGGAAGTTATGGCTTTCAAATTGCAAGACCTGAGATGGTTATTAATGATATAACCTATTTGAGAGCACTAATTTATAAGGTCAGTACAAGTTTAAAAGGGACATGGTGGCACTGTGGGCTAAACCGCAGAAGCCTGTGCTGCAGGGTCAGAAGACCAAGCAGTCGTAAGATCGAATCCACGCGACGGAGTGAGCTCCTGTCGCTTGTCCCAGCTCCCGCCAACCTAGTAGTTCGAAAGCATGCAAATGCAAGTAGATAAATAGGGACCACTTAGGTGGGAAGGTAACAGTGTTCCGTGTCTAAGTCGCACTGGCCATGTGACCACTGAAGATTGTCTTTGGACAAACGCTGGCTCTATGGCTTGGAAACAGGGATGAGCACCGCCCCCTAGAGTCGAACACGACTGGACAAAAATTGTCAAGGGGAACCTTTTACAAGTTTAAAACAATTTGAAAGTACGCCCATAAGAACATACCCAGCGAAAATAGCAACAGCTACAAAATCTCAACAAGTATATTGCTTTTTACTCATTGGGATACTCGTTTGTTCTACCAATGTAAAGTACTGGAATTTTTTCCTTTTTCAGGAAATTGTGGCCAGAATCTAATTGCTGATTTAGACTTGTATAAGTCAATTGGCATATGTTGCAGTGGCAAATAGCTGCTAATTAATCAACTATTGCTTGTGCTTCTGGGCACATGCCTGGTTGGTTACTGGATACACTTTTAGTATGTATAAGAGAGAACTGGATGAAGAATAATCAACACAAGGTAGACATTTTTGAGACTGGGGAATTAACTGATCTGGTTAATGGTGTCAAACAGATTCTGAATGAGGTGTCTTGTTGAAGAACTGAGTATGTATGCTGGTGGAGCTGTTAAACTTCACTGTCTGTGGAGGCAGAGGCAAAGGCAGCAATGAAGAGTGCCATGTACTACGTCAGTATTGTGTGCTAGCCGCAGCCCTGTCAAAAACAGCATGCCAGTTTTTCTTTGAAACGGTATATATAAAAATAAGAGAAGCAGAATTTAATAAAAATTTAGGAGTTTATTACAAGCACCACAAAAATGCCTTAATTTTTATTCTTGATGCCTAAATGATCTTAGCGTGATCTCTTGGATTCTCTTACAGGACACTGGTGTGGGCAAATCAAGCATTGTATGGCGCTTTGTAGAAGATAGCTTTGATCCCAACATCAATCCAACTATTGGGTGAGAAACTGAAAGAGTATAACGCTGTGTATTGTTATGTTGTGAAAAATCTAAAAATTTTTTGCATAGAAACGTTTCAACCCAGATACTAAAATGTATGTAAATCATATGATAAATAGGCAGGGAACTAAAATTCAAGAATTCTCAGGACTTGGAAATAGAATACATGCTCATTCTTAGCCACAGAGATGGGAGCTAGTCTGGAAGCATACACTTCATAGTTTTTTTCCTTTTCTACCATAGCTGCAGTTGAACAAAAAGCCAGCAGTTGATTTGACCATCGTTAATGTACCCATGGTTTCCTTCTGATTGGAATATAGGGTGTAACCTTTATTAAAAGGAACTCTTACAAGTGCTGACTCAGTTAAGACTGGCATCTTCATTAACGTTGTTTTCTTTTCTTTTTTCGTACTACGAAAGGGTTTTCTCAGGATGCATTGCATCTATAGCGCCGCCCCTTTCGTAGCACAATTGGTGTTTCAGTTTGCGAAATTTCCATACTATGTAACGTGTAGAATGGATCCGTTTTGTAAACCGAGGTACTACTATATACTACAAGGTATAGTCTGTCTTCCTATGTCAGCACTTAAAGGAAACAGATTCCAGGATGAGATGTATTTCACTGAAAGCTAATGCTAGCCAGGAAGGGGCGCTAGAAGAACATAATTTTCAGCTCATACACTGGTACTCTAAAGTGTCTACAAGGGTAAAAGCACAGATATAAATTCCCCAAGTTTTCGGAAGGTGGCTGGATTAAGAGGAGTGAGAAGTAGAACTGCAGCATAATTGAATAATATCTGTAATGAAAGGTTGCTGAAAATAAAACATGACTCCTTCATAGTAGTGAAACATAGAAACAAGAAAATGGAGAATCTTGTCAGTCATAACTATATGGGAGAGTTACCATATAATATAGAATTATCAGTAGAGCTCTGGAAATTAAAGGGAAGATATGCTAAAGAAACAGCATTATAATCCAGGCTTACTTTGACATATTGTACATTGAATTTTTGGTCTTCATTAGCTGAGGTTTGGATATTGAAAGCTGTACAGAAGGTTTAAACCCATGTTCATTCTTCCAGAATATGAGAAATACTGTTTTCAGTCACAGCAGAGTGAAAACAAGCAAAACTCTGTGCTGCTTTTGCATTGCTACAGGATTCTAGCATACACCACTCTTTAAAGCCATTCACTGTATTTATGAATGAGGGCTAGATTTATCAGTATCTAGTAACCACAGGTAACCATAAATTTCACCTGCATGGTGGTAGTAGTTTACTTCTGCTACTCAGTGCTGCGGTCAGACAATGGGGTGACAATTGTCATTCTGCTCTATTTAAGTGTCTAATTGGCTCCTTTCACATTCCTTCAGAGATTATTTACAGTGTTATTAAATTTTACATAGATCATGGTTCTAACCCAGAATAGCAGTCCTTGTAGTGTTCCACATTGAAACCGCAGTCTCCCCTTTGCATTTTATGGGATTAAGATTCCCTGGAGATTCCCTTCTCACTTACCCTCAAATGTATTGGAGGTATATTTAGCAGGAATACAGAAAGAGGGTGTGCTTGGAGTCTGCCTCTAGAATTTGGAGCATCCTGCTGAGGAAGGCCAGACACCTCCAAATTTGTTATCCTTTTATCATTGTGCAAAGATATTTTTATTCAGACAACCTTTTAGTATCTAATCTGGTTTTCTGATGAAGTAATTTTCAAATGGTAAGTGCTGATATTTCTTGATATATTTTAACTTGAATTTTATTGGCCCATTAGTTACACCCAGAAAAGCTACTCACTTGGCATAAATCTTAGAAGCAAATTGACACAACTGAAAAAGTCAGTATGGGGATTTGATGGTATGCACAGAGTCAGTAACTTGGCACACAACAGCATATAGCTATGCAGATTTCTTGCTACATTTGCCACTTACATTCATGTTGTAAAAAGGTAATAGGATTCCAACCAATGTTTTTTTCTGTATTATATCATTAACTATCTTAAACACTGTTTCTATAGGAATCATATAATGTAAGTTCAGACAATAAGTCATAGTAAGTGATACATGAACCATAGGATTAGTGTTTTGTAGAACTGCTTCTGCATTGTATTCGCAAAGGCTTTCACGGCCGGGATCTAATGGTTGTTGTGGGTTTTTCGGGCTCTTTGGCCGTGTTCTGAAGGTTGTTCTTCCTAACGTTTCACCAGTCTCTGTGGCCGGCATCTTCAGAGGACAGCACTCTGTCCTTTGAAGATGCCGGCCACAGAGACCGCCAAAACGGTAGGAAGAACAACCTTCAGAACATGGCCAAAGAGCCCGAAAAACCCACAACAACCATTGCTTCTGCATTGTTTTGACTTTAAAACTGAACCAAATCAACTTAGATGCATCCACAGTCCTAACATTGGCATCTGTTCGGTGGCATTATTAGATGTAGAGATAGACTAGATGTACACATTACTAAAACAACATTTGGAGCAGAATGTTGGAAGGAACATTTGCTACTTGTTTAAAATTGAACACACAGATAAAATCACCACATAAACCACAAGGAAAGCAAGCATCAAAGAAGTTAAATCCTCAAGGCTACTTATGAGTGATCAAATTTGATTCTTGAGCCAAAATTAAATGTAAATATAGATCAGAGTCTAGCTGGAAACAGAAACATAGATAACTAATGGAAATCTCTACCACATATGCCATTGTCCCAAAGTTCTTAGACTTAAGAACATATTCATGAGGATTTGCTTGATGAGAAAGATGACGAAATATCAAAACGTCTTGAAGAAAACACCAACTGCATAAGGTATGTCAACAAATCACTTATCGACAAAGCTGCTGGCCCCCAGTCTGTGGGCATGTTACCTTCAGCTCCAACGGTTCAACACTCATTGCAGGCAAATCATAGTTTTTGCAGAAATGACCGAGCATTTTCAAAATGTGTTGAATGGACCATCTGAAATGAGTGAGGAAGCTATTAGCAGGCTGTCACAAGTACCAATCAACAATTCATCAGATTTTGCTTCATCTTCAAAACAAATACAAAAGATCATTAGCCAGCTCTCCAATGGAAAATATCAGGGCAGATGCAACTCCAGCAGAAAATTCTAAGGACTGAAAAAAGGGGGTGATCAACTTGTCCAGTGACTGATGCACCTATGTCAAGAAATATGGACACGTGACAAAATCCCTCAGGATAGTAAAGATGCAACAGTTGTTCATCATTACAAAAGGAAAGGCAAATGTCAACTCAGGATGTGATATAGTTAAACTGCTGTACTGCAGCCAAAACTCTGCTCATGACCCGTGTTCTATCCCAGGTAGCTGGCTCAAGTTTCATTTAGCCTTCCATCCTTCCAGGTTTGGTAAATTGAGTACCCAGCTTGGTAGGGGGTGAGGCAATGTGTAGCCTATGTAATTAAATTGTAAACTGCCCAGAGAGTGCTTTAAATCCCATGAAGGGGTATATAAACAGCACACTTTGCTTTTTTGTGACAACCACCAAAGCAACTCTCTCCTAAATACTGCTAGAAGAAGTCTAACAATAATCCTTCAAAATAGCCACATAGGGCACCTAGAGAGAGTCTCTCACAAGAAACTCAATATGGCTTCCAAAATGAATGAGGGACTGTTACATGATATTTGTTACCTCACAGCTACAAGAAAAGTATCAGGAGCAGCAGATCAACCTTTACATGACATTTGTAGATTTGACTAAAGCTTTTTATATGATATGCAGTGAAGGACTAGAAAATCATGAGGAAACTTGGATGTTCTGAAATAACAGACATATGATTCAAGAATGCTGTGACAGTATGCAGGCTTGTGTTGTCAGCAACTGTATTCTCTCTGATCCTTTTCCTGTTACACATGGTGTTAAACAAGACTTGCCCCAACTTTTTTGAGTCTTGTGTTTTCCATGATGCTCTGGGATGTATAAAGAAAGGGAAGAAAATGTTAGCATTGGCCTTTGATATTGCAACAACAGGAAAATGTGCAATCTGCATAATATGTAAAGAATAGCAAGTTCAATTTGCCCACTTTGTGAGCATCTGTTTTCAGATGATTGTACTCCTAATGCAAGCACACCTCTAGGTATGCAATAAGGTCTTAATCTGTTCTTCACAGCTTGTAACAATTTTGGCCTGAGGCTTAATGCTGAATAAACAGTGGTGATATACCAAACTATGAGAATCCAGTTCTGGAGGGTATACAAACATTCCCTTTTTGTTGTAGAAAATTTTATATATTTTGGCAGCACTGTTTGCTACTGTGTTCTCATTGATGGTAAAGTGACCTCATAAGTCTCTAAGGTTAACACTTCATTCAAAAGATACTGATCATCGGTTTGGAATTGACATGGAACCAGTGTTAACATAAAGCTGAAGATGTAGAATGCTGTTCTAACCTCCTTGCTTTGTAGAGTTGAAACTTCCGCTATCTGTCAAACAACATGCAAGAAAGCTGGATCACTTTCATTTTATCTTTATTTAGAAAATTCTCAATATCAAATTGCAGGATAAAATCCTGACACAACAATATGGAGTAAACACAGATGACAATTTATCAAAAGTTTTAAGAACAATGACAATTTCAGCAGGATGTTGGATGACTATCTTGCAAAGCATATTCTTATGGAGAGCTTTTTTAAGGTGCTCAGTTGTGTGGTAAACAAAATAAAGAATTTAAGTATACACTGAAGACAAGATTGAAGTAATATAATACTGAACATGAAAACTCACTCAAGACCAAAACATCTAGCAAAATTCCATTTAAAAAAGGGCTGAAAAATTTACAATAAAAAGAATCAAGGATGCAGAAAGGAAGAGATAAAACAGAAAGCAAGGATGTAACATCTGAACAATCCAGTGAGTTCAACATCAGCTAACGTGCTCCCACTGCTCTCATATCTTCCAGACTTCATGTCCATTAAGGTGATAACTTTAATTGTTAACTGCTCACTTCTTTCTTAATTTGGAATCTCTTTGAAATGGCTTTCTTTA